ATGGCTTCTTCAAGAAAGCTAGAAAGAATGAGATGAATTTGTTGCCCAGGACAAATTGTTCACTGCGTTTATGCAGATTCAACCCGAAAAAAGCCCGAGTTGTGTCATCGCGATGTTACCACACCTCCACGTAGTACTTTTTGAAGGGGATAGTGGGTGAGAAGCGCGTTTTCGTACGTTTTGCGTAGCAAGCGCAAAAAAAAAACCACTGAAGCGAGACCATGTGTTTTGTGTGTTTTTATCTGAAGGTATATGCAAAATTGCGAAAAGTAGGAACTGAAACTTTTAATACACAAAGTTACTGATTGTGTGGATACATGTAAAATCAGCTTGTGTGCCGCTTTTTTTCCTGACGCTTGGGTCTGAATCCATATTCAGGTGAACTGTTTTAATACCAGGGCAAGTCGAAGTAACAACTCGTAATTCTCGGCTTAGATCTGTCCAAGCAGGAGTGTATAAATGGCGGGAAATCCACATGCAAAGCCTGTTGCTTCCTGGTCCCTGATTTTATGTCTAACTGTTGCTTTGATTTTAGCATGAATCGAGCTAAAAACAGGAAACTGCCGCACTTTTGCATTTTTGCAATACGCTAGCTGTTGCGAGTCACGGCAGTTGGAGGAGGGAGGAGGGGAGGAGGGGAGGGTGGAGAAGGGGAGGAGAGGGAGCAGCGGGGGAGGGAAGCAAAATGCAAACGGTTGGACTGCATAAAATGAATTAGACTAAAACCACTCATGACGAGGTGATACCAGCCATTTGCATTTTTGCTTCCCTCCGACTCCCTCTCCAGCTGTCGTGTTACTCCACAATAGCATATTGCAGAAATGCATAGGCGCGACAGTTTCCTGGCATACTGAGATGAATTCTGCAATTGCTGGTTGTTTTGGCAGATGACCAAATTTTGGTGAAATATATCCTGCCTGCTCGGTGATTATTCGGTAGCGCGCGCTTCTTCCAGTAACGGGGTTTGTCTCCCGGTTTCGGCGTCAAATTTCTTTTTTTTTTTTTTTTTTTTTTTT